GAGCGAATTAATTAACAGGTGACAAATGTGAGAAGGTATTAAAAATATCTAACACCAAAAGAGGATTCACATCTGCTTACCAGCAACAAGTGCAAATCAATCAGGAAGAAAGACAGTAATCCCGTCGAAAAATGGGCAAACACCTAAACAGACCGTTTACAGAACAGGAAACCCAAAAGGCTAGCCCTACATGGAGAAACGCTCTGACTCATCACTGGAGAAATGCAAACTAAAACGGCAGAGAGGTCGTGTTGTGCCTGTTAGGCTGCAAACCCCGGAAAGCTGGATGCTGCCAGGGGTCTGTGTCCCACAACACGGAGTCCTCAGCACTTCAAAGTGTAGCCACTTTTAACTGTGCTTAGTCCAGTTTAAAAAGACCCATAAACTCCATGACCCAACAGTTCCATTCCTTGGTAGAATCGTAGGGGTAAGATGACATGCATGAGGGTTTTGTGACATTACTTGAGGGGACAAGGTCAAGTCTTGGGGAGCGTGGATACACAAGGTGTAGTGGCCACTCCGGGAGCCCTGGAGCTACACTGCTGAGTGCAAAAGGTAAGAACGAGGTTGAGAGATGAGTTAGGTAACTCAAGACACACACAACAACACACGTTCTGTAAGAACACAACAAAAAGAAAACTATACATTAAACATAAACCAACAGTTGCCTAGGATGGCGGGAAAGGGTTAATGAGACTTTTAAAAATGAACAAATGAAGAGAAGGCCTTGCTCCGATCAGTGACAACAGCGTGTCATGAGCACAGGAGGATGGTTACTTCCACTTTCTGCCCCTGAGAATCACAAAACAAACCACACACAGCCCGGGACAGACACTGCTGCCCTCCTTCATGTGCATTTTGTCTTCAATCTGATTAAAAGAGCGCATGTTCCGAGAGCAACTGATGCCTTGCTCGGTGGGCGCCCTGCCTGGAAGCCAAGGTGTGCTCAGAGCCAGCACAGAAGGGACGGGAGTGGTGAGCCAGCCGCTGCTCGGCCTTTCCCGCGTCTCCACCTCCGCCACGGCGCCTGGCAAATGGCGGATGCTCAGTGAGCAGTTTTAGGGATGAATAATGACAGGTCTTCATGGAGGGGACTTTGGAGTGTGGGAGCCTTCCGGATGCAGGTCCACACTCCCGGTGTGTGCTGCCCAGAGCTGGGCCGGGCATGTCTGGGTGTTGGAGGGAACAGAGGACGTTGGACCAGAAGGAGGGAGGCTGAAGGCCAAGACCCCAAAAGGGCATGGGGAAGGTCACCAAACCACCCGAACCAGGAACTGCTTCTGTTAGGGAACACAGGATGCCAGAGCAAGCACGAGCTCAGTGGGAAGAAGGGGAGCCGAGGGCTGGGGACAGTCACCTGGGACAGGCTCTGTGGTTCCTAAGGTGCTTCACGTGCTGGGCTGGGTGGGAGGGGGCGCTGCGGCCTGACTGTGACCAGGAAGGCCCCAGCATGCTGCATCTCCTCCCTCACGCTGTGCTGCTCAGAGTGGCTGCCTGGCCGAAGCCTGTGACCGGTCAGCAGCACATGGGCCTTCTCGTTATCCTCCCCTCGCTGGACTTCATCCTGCCCCGCTGGCTGCTGGCTGCTGGCTGGAGTCGGGACAGCTCCGCTGTGGGCCGGAGCGAATCAGCTGGGGCTCAGTCTGCCCGGTCTCCTGCACACGTGGCTTCTGTCCCAGAACTGCATGGCTCTGGGGCGTCTTTGTTTTCTGTTAACTACCTGGGACCGGGGAAGCAATGTCAGAACCAGCTGTGTCTGCACATTCTGGCACAGACGTTGGCGAATACACCAGCGTGTCCTGTGTCCCCCATTTGTACTTGTCATTCAGGTCTAGGGGTCTTTGGGGGCAGCTGCGCCTCCTTTCCCAGCTCACCTGTGGATCCCGGCCTTCCTCCCCGCATCCCTGCGCTCTGCCTGCCAGCACAGGTGGGCCCCAGGCTTCTCACCTGTCTGTGCCCGCAGAGTCTGCCCTTGGCTCCTCCCCACAGCCCGCACTGGTGTCTCTGTCCTGGTGCTGCAGTCTGTGGGCTCGCAGCAGCCCATTCGCACAGGGACTGCTCCCTGTTACAGGTAAGGAGACCACAGCCTGGAGAAAGGAAGTGACATGCTCAGGGTCACACAGCTAGTACCTGGCAGGGTCTAGACTCAACTGAGACCTCCTCGGCTTCACCCTGAGGAGGCAGCACTTGTTGGGACGAGAGCAGCGTGGAGCCAGTGGCGGCTCGCCTTGCCATGTGTGAGGAGGGGCACATGTGCCGGGACGCAGGGCTGCGGCTCGAGGCGATCAGGAGCGTGGGCCCGGCAGGGGTGCTGGTGGGGGGCTCCAGCGGGGACAGCACGGCTGGCAGAGGCCGGGCCTCACTTCCCCGCGGTGGCCCTAGTCCTGCAGAGTCCAAGCGGCTCTCGATCGCCCGCCCTGCCCGTTCGAGGAGCCCCTGCTGGGCAGCCTGAGGGTGGATGCTGCTCTGGTGACAGTGACAAGCTGCCCTGTGTGCGCTCGGGAGCGAGTGCCAGGACGCGTCCCTGTCTCCTGGGGCCTCGGGCGGCACGGCTCCCGCTGACCGCAGGGCAGCGTCCTTCCTGCGCGGTCTTGCCAGATGCTGGCGCGCCGCAGCGGCTCCTCCCGCGGAGCAGGGCCTGGCCGCTGCCTCCGGCGCGCCCTTCCCGCCCTTCCCGCGCGCGGCCGGGCCCCGCATCGCCGTCGCGCCCTTCCCGCCCTTCGCGCCCTTCCTGCCCTTCCCGCGGGCGGCCGGGCCCAGCATCGCCGTCGCGCCCTTCCCGCCCTTCCCGCGCGCGGCCGGGCCCCGCATCGCCGTCGCGCCCTTCCCGCCCTTCCCGCGCGGCGGATGCGTCTGGCGAGGCTGGCGTGGCGGTGGCGGACTGCGGCGCGGCGGGGCGGCCCCGCCGTCCGAGGAAGCCTGAGAAGCCGGGCCTCCCGGGCACGAGGGAGCGGGCGGCAGCGTGCCTCCTCCCTGGGTCTCCAGCGCCCGTCCAGCCCGCGAGGTTTGGGCTTCTCAGCCTCCCGACCGGCGGCCCGCGGGCCTTGCCCTGGAGCCGCGCCGCGCCCGCACCGGCCTCCGTGCCGCGGGGTTCGCTTCCTTTCCCTGCGCTCGGCGACAGTCCCCGAGTCCCGCCGGGCCCTGGGCGCGCGCCCGCTGTGCCGCCAGCGCGGGGAAGGGCGCGAGGCCGCGGGAGGGGAGAGCTGCGCGCCTTGCCCCCTTCCCGGTGGCCTTGGGCATTCCTAACGACTTCTCACTCTCCTGCGTTTTCATTTGGAAAGTAAGTGTCGCATCTTGTGTGGGATGTTACATGAATGAACATAAAATAAAACGTGGAAATAGTTTAGAAGTTTCAACCACCCTGTGACTTCTGGCACTGCACTTTTTAGGAAAGAGGGTGGGCAGTGGGTTGAGAGTCAGAGACTCTGAATCTTTTTATAATATATACCACATGGCGATGGGAGCCCAGCAAGGACCGGGCAGGTGCTGGTGCCGTGCAGAGCCCCAGAGCCCTTCTGAGCTCGGAGCCAAAGCCGCGTTCTTCTTGGGGGCTCAGAGGTGACTAAGCAAACACTTGCCTGTATTGGTTGACAATCAGCGCACAAAGAGACCTCAGTTTCAGGCATAAAACTAGGACTAGACGTAAGATGTGTTTTAGAGGCAATAAAATCGTTTCCACCCCCATCTTTCTCCCACCCAGTGGACGTCTTTGACTTTAACAGGACCTGGGAAAGGGCTCACTGTGCCGTGAAGGCCTCGCCCTTGTTGGGACAGGACTCGGAGAGGAGGTGAAGCGCAGACTTCTCTCTAAATCGGAATTGTGTTCTGAACACGGGTTTGGGGGCTTCACAGGAGGCTCGGTGAGTGCGAAAGCCCGCTTTCCCTGGGGAGGGCTTTATTGGGTCAGAAACACTCCTGTTTGCTTCTTTCACACTGACATTCTCAGGTGGTACCAAAAGCCACTCCTTCCAGGGTACATCTTAAATGACGGTGGCAGTAGTTTCAGGTGTTTTGCAAATGGAGAGTATTTGTCTCCTCGGGCTGCCTTAGCAGACTCCGCAGGCTAGGTGGCTTGAACACGGGAACGTTTCCCTCACTGCTCTGGAGGCGGGGAGGCTGGCAGGCTGGCGTCAGGGCGGTGCAGGGCCGTGCTCCCGCCTGGGCTCTCGGGAAGGATCCTTCCTCACCTCTTCCGAGCCAGCGGTGGCTCCGGCAGTCCTTGGTGTCCTTGGCATAAAGCTGCATCACTCCAGTCGCCCCTCCGTCCTCACATGCCTCCTCAATGTGGCTTGTGTATCCTTTTCTGTCTTTTATAAAGACACTGTCATGGGTACTAGGGCCCCTAATCTGGTATGGCCTTGCCTTTTCTAATTATAACGGTAGAGACCCTATTTCTAAATAAGGTCACATGCTGAGGTTTTCCAGGTGGACATGAATTTTGGGGTCACTATTCAGCACACGGCATGGAGAAGTCCAGAGAATAGGGTCTGCCCAAGAAGCCGCTGTTCGGTCTGAGGACATCTAGAGATCTGGTTGTTTCTGTTACTGTCAGCTCTGCTTCCCTGTTTTCCCTTTCACTTGACTTCTGTCCGTTTTACTTCAAATCACCCTCTCTGCCGAAATATAGAAAAATAAATAATAAACAGCCTTTCCCGTAAGGAAAGAAGTGAAAAGTGCTGGTAGGTTTTAAATTTTTTGTGCCTTTATCTAAATCCCAACCTGCTCTCACCTCAATAGAGTTTCTCTGTGTCTTTGGAAAGCACAGGATACTTTAAAAGCCCTTACTTGGGGAATTTGAGTGTTTACAGTAGACAGAAGAATATAATCAACCCCATGTGCCCACTGCCAGCTCCAACAGTGACTGACTCCTGGCCAATCTCGTGTGACCTGTGGCTGCTTCTTTTCCCCTCTAGTCTTTGGAAGCAAATCCACAGGAAGCTTGCCGTGGTGCACCGACTCACCTGTGCACCGACATCTCTATTCCGTGTCTTCTGTTTCAGATAATTGCCTTCGACGAGTTAAGGACGGATTTTAAGAGCCCCATTGACCAGTGCAACCCTGTTCATGCGGTAAGTAGTGGGTGATGGGAAGGTGATGCCACCACAAGCTACCCAAGGCCTGGAAAGGAGGGTGAGCATTTGTTTGACTGAGTGCAACGAGTGAGGAACACACTGGCCCCCACTGTGCCTCCTTCCTTAACTCAAGCTGTGGAGGAGCCTTGTTGTCCCGTAGGCCTGCAGAGGGCTTGACATATCCTGCAAGTCACGTGCGGCCATCCCAGTAACCCAGGGGAAGGGTCTGCTGTGCTGTGGCCGCTGAGTCCTCAAGTCCTGGTGCTCGTGTGTTTTGGCCACTCATCCTTGAACAAGGAGAGAGGCCCCACGTTGGCCAAGATGTTTGCACACACATGAGCATCATGAGTGGTCCACAGTCTCCACTTGGGCACGAGGTTTCTCAGGTGGTGACTTGGAGGACGGATGGACGTGCAAAGGTCCTAGGGCCACACCCATCAGCCAGTCCACAGCGAGGATTCATCTCGGGTGGATTCATTTCTGTGGGCCTGAGGTCAGCTCAGCTCCCCTGGGGAACCTGATGTATCTGGTTGTTCTGGTTGGGGTTCAGGTTCAGAAGACCATCTGCCCCAGCACACGGCTCCCAGCATCCTCCAGCTCGTGTTGCTTGGCGGGCCCTGCATGCTGGCCTTCCCGTCTGCCCAGCCGCGCCTCCGACCGGGAGCTTCCGATGGCTGTGGGGTGGGGGGGGCGGGTGTGTTGGCTGTTTGCTTCTCTGGCCAGGGCAGCAGATGCCCAGAGCCAGCGCCAGCCAGGTGTGTGGACAGGTGCTTCCCAAACTTATCCAGACCAGTACTGCTGGGTTCAAAGGGTGGAGCGCACACCTTTCATTCGAGTGTGTTCTGTAATCCAAATCCACGGTTCTGTGTTTAGTTCAGGTTCCTTCCAGATGTGGTTCCCAGTGCCGAGTGGCGTTGCTGGTCTTTGCAGTCAGAAGTTGTAGCTCTGCTAGCATGACACTGTCTTAATCTGGAAGGTTGATGGCATCGTTCTGTAGTAACGGGGACAGAGAGATCTCTTCTCCTTAGCTGCAGGCCCCCGAAGAAGGGTATGCTTTTAGGGAGGTGCCCAAGACCACGTGGTGGAAGGCAGCGTCAGTGTCCCCTTCTGAAAGTAGAGGGTGGTTATTGGAGTTGTCATTTCTTTTTCGGGTTCTCCTATGTGCTAGGAACTTTATATGCATAATCTGCAATCCTCAGAACTCTGCAAGACAGGCATCATTAACCCAATTTCCACACCCGCTGTTTTGTCCGGGACCCATAGCTCCTGAGCGGCGGAGTTAGGGCGGGACTCGGGTGTGCCTGTCTCCAGAGCCTGAGTTTGTCCCCCTGTTCTATGTTGTCTCTTTAAGAGTCTTGATTTTATGATACCCAAGGACCCTTTGGCACCACATTCTTTGATCCTGTGAAATAGAGCCAAACCCTTTCAAAGTAAACTGTGGAAAGCAAATTTTGTTGCAAGGTGAAAGGACCCCTAAAATCTACTTGAAAACTTACTGTGTTTCATGAAACGTATAATTACTAAAATCCACTTTGTTTCCATCTACCAGCCTCACCGTCCCCCTGTGACAACTTGGATCTGTCAGGCCTGAAAGGGTCTCACCCTGTCTCAGGTCTTCATGGATGTTTTGGGTTTGGCACCAGCATTATACACCTGCCTGTCAGCGTCCACCAGGTGCATGGAGCAGCTCAGAAGCCCACTTCCCTTCTTCCTAATTGTTTTGGCTCAAATTAAAGAATTAAAAAGCAGCTCACTTAGAACACCCAGAGCTTTCTTGTATGGTTCCAGGGCAAATGCTGGCGAAGAAATTCGTCCTGCCCTCTATTCTATCACGCAAGTTCCTGCTGGGCTGCAGGTAACTGGTAAAACCATGAGGCATGTCTGTGGAGCCCTTCCCATCTTATTGTGGCAAGTCCCTTAATTTAGACAGAATAAAGAAAATTAGGACCAGTATAAGCTCCCGGGGGAGCATCTGTGAAAGGCCAGTGCAAGACCAGAACTTACACACAGTAGGTGCTCAGTATTTATTGATGGAGCAATGAATGACAATTGAAATGTGAAGTCCAGACATTTCAGGGACAGACTAAAGCCTTTAGATACCCCTGGGAAAATGATTCTTGTCTGGGATTAAAAACAAAAACAAAAACGCAATATCAAATCCCCAAATGGAAGAGTATCAGACACATTTTTGCAGTTCCTACAATGTCACTTCCTGGCAGGAAGTTAAATGCGTCGGATGCCTGGTTGGACATGTCTTCAAGCTCGTGAGGCCTCCGCAGGGCCCCGAGGAGCAGCGTTTCAGGCTCAGGTGGCCTGAAGAGGCTACTTCACTGGTTTGTGGCTCGGCCCTGGAAGGGCTTGTGTCACGAATAATTGCTGGCCTGTATGCTGCAGTCCTCAGCGGAGGCACAAGGCTCCTTTGGGTTTAAGATGCCCTAAAGCTCCAAATATCGTTGATCCTCTGGGATGGAAAGGAAAAGGAATGCTCTCTTTTTTTTTTTTTTTTTTTTTTTTTTTGAGACAGAGTCTCGCTTTGTTGCCCAGGCTAGAGTGAGTGCCATGGCGTCAGCCTAGCTCACAGCAACCTCAAACTCCTGGGCTCGAGTGATCCTTCTGCCTCAGCCTCCCGGGTAGCTGGGACTACAGGCATGCGCCACCATGCCCGGCTAATTTTTTATATATATATCAGTTGGCCAATTAATTTATTTCTATTTATAGTAGAGACGGGGTCTCGCTCTTGCTCAGGCTGGTTTTGAACTCCTGACCTTGAGCAATCCGCCCGCCTCGGCCTCCCAAGAGCTAGGATTACAGGCGTGAGCCACAGCGCCCGGCCTAGGAATGCTCTCTTTCACTCCTCATTTCTCATGTTTTCCCTTCCTTTTACCAGCTGAGCATTCAATATCCCTTAAAGGAATGGGAGGTGTTGTCCTTTAGAGGCTCCTACTTGCTGGAGAAAGGAGAGAGTGTGTTCTGTAGCACCCTCCTTCATTCCCGCATGTGTGCGCATGCTTGTGTGTGGCTGTGTGTGCGTGCACGGACACACACATGTCACCGCATGTGTGCGCATGCTTGTGTGTGCCTGTGTGTGCGTGCACGGACACACACATGTCAGCGCATGTGTGCGCATGCTTGTGTGTGCCTGTGTGTGCGTGCACGGACACACACATGTCAAGGAGGACACGATCTGCCTTCTGGCCATGTGGACACTGATTTGTCCTGATGGGCTCCCTCCTCTGGGCTGACAGGATGTGCAGGAATCACTATGGTCATGCTTTAGTTAGGGGAATGAAGTGTCCCGGCGACCTGTCCTCCCCGAAGCCGTGAGGACTCCCATTACCATTCCATCTACAGCAACCAAGCCGCCTGGGCAGCGAAGCACCGGGAGAAGCCACAGCTGTGCCCGACGTGCCTCTGGAGGCCGCCAGAGTCGCGGAGGGAAGGGGAGGCACCAGCGCTCGCGCCTGGCCTGCGCGCCTCCCCTTGCAGCGGGTCTCAGAGATGGGCTTGGGCTTCGGGAAGTCTTAGCCTGGGGCACTGTTGGCGTCTGATTTAGCAGGGAGATTGCTTCCTCCAAGTGCACTCACTTTAGAAAAATAAAACCAATGGGCAGAGAACTTGTCTGCCCTAGACACCAGTGAGGGCACATATGCTCTTCAAGACCCAAGGGGGAAGTCCCCTTGGGAGAGCCGGCCACAGGCTCTGGGACGTTGAGTGAATACAGCGTGCCTGTTCTGCAGTTTGGCCACCTTATGCGTACATGAAGGCTGAGAGAGACCGTAGGAAAAAGAATAGAAACCGGTGCTGGGCTGAGAGGCAGGCTGAGCCCATGCTGTTTGCTGAGAGAGTTCTTTTAAGAGCAAATGACTATAACAAGGTAGATGGAAGAAAGTCAGGAACTCTGTTGGAAAAGCCGCTGGGTGGGAGCATGCTAGCTGTGTGCCCAGGAGGGATCTCTGGTGGGTTCTGCCACCGCCACTGGGGCTGACGGTGGGGGCTTCTCATGCTCTTTCAGCTAGAGCCCCTAACCCCCTCTCCTTCCTTTCTTGTGCATCCTGACAGAGGGAGCGGCTGAGGAACATCGAGCGCATCTGCTTCCTTCTGCGAAAGGTCAGTGTGGTGGCCGCGTGGCAGCGGGTGGCCGCGTGGCAGCGGGTGGACGCTCACTGGGCCGTGGGTGGGCGCCCACTAGAAGAGGCTGGTGGTGCCCAGTGTGGGCAAATGGTGGCAGGGAGGGGGAGGTGGGAGCAAGCTATCAGTTCTCTGGAAACTTCCAGAGACAAGAGGAGCTAATTAAAAGGGGTGACCATCAATCAAAGTGTCAGCATGACACTAAAGTGCCGTCTGGTTGCATGGTGATGGATGGCATCTCCAGCTGCTCTCGCCTCCTGGCCTTGTTCCTGTCTGTGCTGGGCTAGGGAACGCTCCCTCCTGCCCTTGGGAAGTTTTTAACTGGACGCTGGGTTTCCTTTGAGCTTTCAGCCTGTCACTCAGCTTTGCGATTGATTGGCAGGATCCTTGGGAGTGTTGGAAGGGTGGGAATAGGAGGCGTTGTTAAAGGGGAGCCACGCCACCCAGAGCTGCTCTGAATGGGGGGCGGCTGGTCACAGCTTCCTCAAGCTCGTCAGGAAGCGCATGTGTGCAGGCGCAGCTCCGGCTTGGATCTAGTGCGGCTCTGCGGCATAGCTGGGCTGCCATGGCAGGCAGACCAGTCTGCCTCTTTCTAGTCAGGAAAGTGTGTGCTTTTTGCTGCAACATGTAGAGAACAGCAACTTGCAGGCAAAATAAGTGATGTCCCTAGCCTTGAGCCAAAGGACGTGCCTAACCTCCGTTCAGAGTGGATAACTACAGGCCATAGGAAAGCTACCCGTCAATCCAAAAGGCATTTTGATTATGTGAATAGGACAGAAATCAAATGTTATGCCAACACTGATAGAAAGGGAAAACATTTTGCAAGCTTCTGAAGTTTTTTCTGTATTTCAATAATGATACCTTTCACTGGGAGAGAGTTTAACCAAGAAGCTAGTTATTTTTCTAGCTAATTACTGCCTTTTAATGTCTTCTTAGAAACTCAGTATGTTAGAATTCCATACCTTGTATGACACAGGAAGGAAGTATGCTCAGATGAGACCTTTATATGAAAATAGTAGTGATCGCAGGAATAAAAAATGATTTAAAAATGTACCTATGAATTTATGAATATGAATTCATGAATTTTAAAATTATTTTCCCAGATAATATCTTAGATACCCATAACCTGCCTCAACTAGTACTTCTGTTAAAGTCTCTGGTTTGTCCTTCAAGACTGACACATAAGTGGCATAGAATGGATCAAAACAAAACCAGTTTTGTCTTTCAAACTCCAAAAGAGTTTTTTTCCATCTTTCTGTGTTGTCTGGCAGAACGATGTTCTATATCCAACGTTTTAGCCTTGCTCGTCCTTATACTGCCTGACCATGGGGTCTGGCCAAACAGCAGGCAGTGGCCGAGGTCCTGCAGCTGCCTTACCACCCTAGGCCTTTCCAAGTTTGGAGCAAGGGTATGAAAGTAAGCATGCTATGCAAGCATTAGCATTACTACTTGCAAATTTGCATATAGTTAGCTTAAGTTTCTATAGACAATAGACTGAGGCGTTTACTCCAGGAAACATTGTATTCCAGGTACCTTTTCCTGCTTTTTGCCCTTTTCATTTACCCATGTTCCTTCCTGTCACCTGCCACTGCCTCTGCTGCTTCTGGCAAGTTCTATGCAATTGCTGCTCATTGTCGAGGAAGATATGAGGGAGAAAAGACAGACATCAGAGGGCCTGAAACCCAGACTTCAAGACTTTAGGTGTTATAACTGCGCGTGATCACACCTTCTGCAGCTTCAAGGTTTTCTAGCTCCTGTGGGGAGCTGACGGGGCAGCCAGCACCCCTGCACTAACAAGCACCGTGCCTGTAGCTTTATTTCTTTGTGGAATCTTCCTTCTACTCCATTCTGCTTGCCATAAGCAAGTCTACTTTTAACACTTGCCTGTTAGTTCTGTGTGCCCTGAACACCTGAGATCATTTTTAAAGGTGATGTCAACATGATTTCTTTTCAAATGTGATTTCAAATTGTAGGTGCTTCTGACTGGCCTTTGAGGTCTTGCTCTGGCTCACATGTTCTTTAGCTTAATTGGGTAACTGTATTCTCACAGAGGCGTTCAGGTACTGGACATGCAGGTCGGTCTCCTCTCACTAGAAGGCCAATTCCAGGAGATCTCTGGCTTTGTTCTGTTCACTGTCATGTCTGGAGACATAGAATGCGGAACAGTGTATAGCCCATTGAAGGTGTTGAGTAGATATTTACTAAGTAGGTGAATCAATGAGTGCTGACTTTTTGGCACTTCTGTAATCTAAATCATTCTCATTGGGAATACTGGGATAGGCAATAATCTTTGTTTCTTCATGTCAGCAGTGTCCATGACGTAGCACAAAATTTGCACATTTTACTATGTTTACTACTTAGTTAAGATTTGTATTTTAAAATCAAATTTAACTCTATATGGTATTCATTATTCACATGGAAGATCTCTGACCTACAGTTTCTCCTGTCCCGGTCTTTTCCTTCCCTCTGTCCTCTTGGGGTCTGCATCGTAACCTTGGTAACACTGCTCTCCGCCAATTCTGGGCCCTTCAGAATTGAAGTGTGCAAACTTCTGCTGCTTCCAGATCCCACCTCTGGCCTTACTGCCATCTGTGTAACCCACGGTGTGTGCCTCAGTGTGACCGTAAAGTAGGGGTAATAATGAAAAGTATCCCACTCACAGAGTTGTTGTGAGAATTAAACGAGACGATGTGTGTGCGGCTGGCACCTCAGTGCTCAGTGCATGTTAAACGTTGTTATTGTCATCCGGACCCTTGGGTCTTGCCTAAAACCCATTATACTAACCCTAAGCAAACACTTGGTGATGAGTCAGGCTGAGATGGCCCTTGACTGGTGGCAAACCCCCTGCCCCCCCGAGTGTCCCCTCATGTGTTCTTAGGTGAGTGTCATTTGAGGTTTGAGCAGTGTCACACGGTGGGCTGGCCTGGGCCTTTCCCCCCTCCTCCCCGCCCCCGCTGGGTCTCTCTCACTGTGACTGGGCTTCTGAGTTCAGGTTCCTAAGCTGTGAGCACGTGTTGGGTTGGTGGGAGGTTAACAGGTCTAGTTAGCGTCACCACCTTCTGGGAACTGTACCTTCCAAGAAATTTCTTGGAACTAACCTCCTAAACAGCCCAGAATGTGATGCATCTCAGCATCTGATTGTTGTTAAACCACCTCCTCAGCTTTCTCAGGAGAAAGGAAGGGATTTCAAAGTGGATCTATTTTTAGCTCTGTAATTATCAGAAAATGTGTTCTTTGGGTAATTGTCTGAACTGCAGGATGCTTGTGTTGACTTGTGCTCATGATTCATGTTTCTGTGGCAAGAGCCACTTGCTCCCCGTGCGGCTCCGTCGTGGCCCGTGGGGACGCTGTTAAGTGCGGCGCGGGAGCGGAAGCACCCGGCGGCAGAGGCTGGTCTGATGGCCACTTGCAGGCACAGAAAGGCTCTTGCAGGAAGGAGACTGACGCCTGTTGCATCTGTAAGTGCAGTGAGTGGTTTGAGGAAATGAACATGAGTATGAACCCAAGAGGTTGGCATGAAAATAAAGAGAAACTTGCTCTGTCAGTGGTGGTCGTCACACCTGGGGATTGGTTGTCCTGGGGGCTATGAAATGATCACATTCCTTAGACCACGTTGGACAAGCATATGTCTGGGTAATGCAGAGTAAAACTGAGGCTGGCCGAGGACGGGTGGAGACTTAGTTGCATGGTTTGTGATGTCCCCTCTGGCTTGCCTATTCTGTGATTCTCCAGTTCACGTTCTGATGTCCGCAAGACAATGTCCAGTCCCACTGAAGGCTTTATGACATTTGTGGATATAGAAAGTTGTGTGGATTGATAATTTTCCTTCTCCCAATGAGCGTGCTCATTGAGATGTGGAGGAAGAGGGTGCATGTGGGTTTGGAGGTGGGTGGGGGTGTTGAGATCATTGAGGGAGCAGGTGGGAGGGGTGAAGTGTTCCAGGTTTAATATTGGAAAGAATTCAGGGGTAAAAGGGCCATAGGGAGGGGTCCCACTAATCGCTACCTATTATGCCTCTACCTCTTAGAAGCTTCTTGGAGCCACACCTCGGTCTTAGGGAGGAGTCATGGCATGGAGTGAAGCTGTGAGTAGCAGCCTGAATCCTTTGCAGAAATTCCTGATGTGGTTCTGAAAGCAGGGGTTGGAGGAGATGGAGAATGGATGTGACACTTTCAGTGAAAAGTTAGTTTTGTTAAACGAGAAGATCTCAGCATTATTCTCAATTCGTCACCTCCCTTTGCGTCCAGGACCGTCTCAGGGGTCCTCAAACTACAGCCTGCGGGCCACATGCAGCCTGCTGAGGACATTTATCCGGCCCAAGGGGTGTTTTTGCCACCGCTGCCTGTCCTGCTTAGCAGCCTACTCGTCCCGGGCCCACAATGCGCATGCGTGGAATGTGCCTCGCGCTCTTGAACGCCCCCCAATGGTCTGAGGGACAGTGAACTGGCCCCCTGTTTAAAAAGTTTGAGGACCCCTGGATAATTTGCAAGGCCCAGTGAAAAATGACAACATGAGGCTCCATGTTGGAAACTGGCAGCAGAGCATTCACCGAAGGTGAGGCCCTTCTCAGCCAGGGCCCGGTGCAACTGCGCAGGCCATGCGCCCCTGAGGCCTGCTGTGCCAGATGCCTCTGCAGTTCTTCCTGCTAGGAGCAGAGAATATTTCCCTTCCCCACTGAGGCTGGGCTCTGCCGCGTGACAGGACTTGTCCACTGATTGTGGGCCGGCGTGTGAGTGTGGGAGGAGGCTGTCAGCGCCGTTGGGCATTTCTCTCTCCCTCCTGAGCCCTGCCACTGGCAAGGCCCACCTGTGGTGCAGGGAGGACAAGAGGCCTGGGGAGCCCACTTGAGCCCACCCAAAGCTCAGAGCCACGCCTACCAGACCTGGTGACTGCCAGCCGCCCTTTAGTTCCACGAGCAAGTCTAAATCATTGTGTTTTATGGCACTGAATTTTGGAATGATTCGTTATTATGGCCATAG